AGGTGCTGTCGCGATGTTCCACCGTCCAATCACCGCTCCAATTCCTATTCTCATTTCAATGAGTTGATCTACCTGGATCTTGCCTACTTCACACGATTGTTCCACACCCATTCTCTGTTTCCTACCTACTGATTGTTTAATACGCACACCTCAGTCTTCCCTCTTTTTCTTTTTCTTTTTCTTCCCTCTCATACTATAGCCCCCCACCCCCTCTCTCTCTCTCCCCATCGGGGTTTGGTATTTCTGTAGAGCAGCTGCTCGCGACCCCTGAAGATGCCGGCAGGAAAGCCGGCGGACGGGAAAGCTGACACGGACCCCTGAAGATGCCGGCAGGAAAGCCGGCGAAAGCTTGGGTCATTATTTATTTATTAAAACCTTTTTAAAAATTTTAAAGGGTTTTGTTTTCCTGGTGCTCATTTATATTTATAAACTTTTATCATATATATATATATATGTTTGTGTGTGTGTGTGTGTGTGTGTGTGTCTGTGTGTATAATTTTATATATATATATAAAAAATTAGATATGTATGTGGAATAGATTCAGAATGCACCAAAGTGATGGCTATTTATTTTTTTAAAAAAGCAGTTAATCAATCCATTGGGGAATGCTATGTTGACACAAAAGAGGTTTGCCAGAGTTCTCCTATGAGGGAAGAAATCACTAAGTAGTCATACCGATGTCTAGTTATATAAAAGCCAACTCTCCATTATTATAATTATTAGGATATAATTATTTTAATTATAATTATTACAGTACTGCTTGAAGTAGGGAGTGTTTTCTGGGATCCTATTTCGTATTCTCTGGTGTGCAATCTAATAGCCGTGTAATTTGTCATGTACATTCCTGACACAGTTCACTGTCCTACCCTTGTACAATGAGTTGTAAGTTGTGTTTGCTAGTCCACAGTACTTATGTTGTACATGTCCAGGCCCACACAGTTAGGGCATAAAGTCTGAAAGAAGACCAGACAAATGACAACAGGTATATCAACCAGTCTTTGAATTGACAATGAAGACATTCAAGTGGCGAATAGCTTCTGCCATTTAGAATCAACTATCAAACAAGGAATTAACCAGTAATTCTCAGCCCATGTCATGCAGACTATTTTTTTTATGACTGTAATAACAGAATCTTGCAAATCTGAATGCATCTCCTTCCTTTATCTTCATGAGAATTAGAATGGTTTTATCTGAGAAGCTTTCTCAAATTACAGTCCTGTTCTGGACTCAAATTTCTTTTATCTGACTTCTATCTTTGTAGCAGCTCTTCCTCTTGTTCCTCAAGGTTATTCCTTCTTCCCATTACATCGTCAAGACATATGCTTGGTAGACCAGTGTTTGGTAGAATAGCCATGAAGCCCTTGGGAAAGATACTCAGATGCTGGACTAGATGCTGGACTACTGCATCCAGTTTTGGTCACCACGATGTAAAAAAGATGTTGAGTCTCTAGAAAGAGTACAGAGAAGAGCAACAAAGATGATTAGGGGACTGGAGGCTAAAGCATATAAGGAAAGGCTGCTGGAATTGGGTATGTCTAGTTTAACGAAGAGAAGGAGGAGGGGGGACATGATAGCAGTGTTCCAATATCTCAGGGGCTGCCACAAAGAAGAGGGAGTCAAGCTATTCTCCAAAGCGCCTGAAGGCAGGACAAGAAGCAAGGGATGGAAACTAATCAAGGAGAGAAGCAACCTAGAACTAAGGAGAAACTTCCTGACAGTTAGAACAATTAACCAGTGGAACAACCTGCCTCCAGAAGCGGTGAATGCTCCAACACTGGAAGTTTTTAAGAAGAGACTGGACAGCTATTTGTCTGAAATGGTATAGGCTTTCCTGCCTGAGCAGGGGGTTGGATTAGATGACCTCCAAGGTCCCTTCCAACTTTATTATTATTAGTATTAGTATTACTATTACTATTATTATTATTATTATAGCTATATCTAGAAGATCAGAATTGTACAGGTGATACAACATGGAAGCAAAATGTTTTTCCATTGGGCAAGTATGTATGTTTGTGTGTGTGAAAAACTGAAAAGATAAAAGTAAGAAGTAGAAAAAAGGGAAGTTTTTTTAAGTAAGAAAATATAGGATTTTGACTTCTGACATAGAGATAAAACTAATAGCTTCACAACTGATCTCAACATCTCAAGATTAACTGAGAAGAATTGCAGATCACTTTCAAAACTTTTTCAAAAGAGTTTCAACAGGACAAGAAGAGCAAGAAGACAAGTGGGAACATGGGGTAGACCTGGGCTTGTTATTAGGGGTGAAGTATCTTATAGGTTATTAGGGGTGAAGTATCTTATAGGTAATGCTATATCATCAATCATCATCCAGCCAATACTTTCCAACTTTTTCCTTAGTCTTTTTTCAACCTGTGCTCTTCAGAAGTATGGGACTGTGGCTTGTATCATTTTGTGCAATGCATCAATGAGATATTTAGTCCAACAAATATTACTAAGGTGCACTATGATGGAGATGGTTGTCCTAATGCTTAAATTCTGTTCCAATATTAGTACTCCCCAACAACTATATTTCCTTTAATACATCATTTTGCAACCAGGAAAGTGAGGTGACCTTTGAGAAGGCTTATTATATTAAATCTTCTAATTCTGCCATTAGTTGTTCCCGGGACTTAATCCTGAAGAGTTTTCAAAAGAGGATGGACTGAATCCAGAGGAGAAAGAATGTCTGGAGTTCTTGATTCAGACAATCAACAACTTGGATAAGGAAATCTTAGAAGACGATGAGTGGAGTCATGAGAAAACGGAAGGATCTCTAGGTAAAAATATATAGTAATTTGTTTACATGGATCCCTGGGAACTATCATTTAACCAATTGGCTGATGGAGTAGGCCTTTGAATGTCAAACTTGGTCTTTCCCCAAATATGATTTGGCCAACTTTGTTTCAATCAACATAACTACATTCCTGCTTTTCTAACTTTTATCCAATAAAAGCAAAGAGATAGCACACTGCCTTTCCATGCCAGTGTTATTCTTGTCATTCTGTGGCAGATTTTCCCAGCATTTAGATTGTAGTTGTCACTTTTCATTCATTCATTCATTCATTCATTCTTGCAAGTTGTGTGCACATGTACAAGTATTCCTTGACTTACGAGTAGTCACTTAAATTAAATTAAATACTTTATTGTCATTGTATGTGCGTACATAGTACACATATACAACGAAATTTACTTGACACCCAAAGATCAAGTCCCACACACATAGTCCCCAACACACTCCCACCCACCACAATTCCCCACCCCTAAACCACCCAACATCCACACAACAGACCAAGTGAAATGAAATTCAATGGTGATAAAAGCAAGGTTCTACATTTAGGCAAGAAAAACCAATTGCACAAGTACAGCATAGGTGGCACCTTGCTCAATAGTAGTAACTGTGAGAGGGACCTCGGAGTCCTAGTGGACAATCACCTAAATATGAGCCAGCAGTGTGCTGCAGCTGCCAAAAAGGCCAACACAGTGCTAGGCTGCAT